TGTTTGATATTTTGAGGAGCTGCCAAACTGTTTCACAGAGCATTACAGATTTTTTTTTAACTGTAGTACAATACATATATTACCATTTTAAAAAATGTAGAGTTTAGCGGAATACACTACATTCACTTTGTGGCGGCAATTGCCACCGTCCATATCTGGAATTTTTTTTCTCCAAACTCTGTACTATTAAACTGTAACTCCCAATACCTCCATCTTCCCACCCCTGGTAAACATCATTTTTTCTGTCTCTATGAATTTGAGATACTTTATATAAATGGACTTATGCATTATTTGCCCTTTTGTGATTAGTTTAGTTTTGGCTGTTGTAAACAATGTTGCTTTGTGCATAGTATACATATATATACATATATACATATAGCCCTTGCTTTCAATTCTTTTGTAACTAAAATTGTGGAATTGCTGAATCATATTATAATTACATTAACTTTTGTTTGACTATAACTTTTTAAGCATGTAGTATTTAAATTTGAAAAAAATAGCCTTTCTTCCCTTTATTGTGTTACATTTGGAAAGAAAAGATGATAGAGATGTTTCCCTACATTAGTCCTAATGATTATATGTGTATCAAACAAGGAAAGTAAGAAAGCATTTGCAGTAACTGCTAATACTTGTATATAGTAATACTTGTACATTAATTGAACATTACTGTGCACTAGCCACTATAGTGTTTGTGTGTATGTGGATGTGTATTTTGTTCTGCTGCATTGTTCTCATTGAAGTACCACTGTGATTTATTGATTCTCAGTAATTCTGCATAAAAGTCAAATATTTGAATAAAATTGATTTAGATATAGATATAATAAACCACAAGTTCCTGTTACTGTATTCTTCACCTATTTTTGTTGAAGAAAAATAATCTTGATTTCTGAACATTTCTCTGTAAACTTTTTAAGTTCAGTAGTATTTCTAGTGGCATATTTGTTTTCAAAAGCCTTACTTGATTTGACTTTTCTTCTCCATCCTTAGTACTATAATTTACCAGAGCACTTTTCGTGTATTCTTAAAACTTATCATCCACTTATAATCAAGAAAATACTAAAATAAGTTGACATGTAAAGGTAGAAAATTAAATTAAATGTGTAGCACAGCTTACAAACATTGGTTCACAAGAAACCAGTTACCCAAACAAAATAGACTATGTGCACAGGTTTTTCCCCTGCTGTGATGTGGTATTAAGTCCTAAACACAGTATAGTCATAATCAAACCATATGATATTAATCATGTTACCCTGAGTTATTATCATATAATTGTCATCAGATCTGGTTAGTGTCATAAAAGTATGTAGTATGAATAATTCCTATCCTATTCTGACTCTTAGCTCAATGGCTCTTTATTTCTCATGTTTGATTCACCAACTCCTTTCTTTTTTTTTTAGTTCTTAAGACATAGTTCTTTTACCCCCTGTGGAACAATGCTTGGGAAATTCATTTTTCTCCTGACTACTGTGTGTATAGGTCTCTAGGCACTTCACTACTGAGCTCTGTTTTAATTAACTAAAGGTTCTTTATATTTAAATGCTTGACAGTCACCTCACAATTGTTACCTTTTTCTTCATCTGAATTTTCCTTTCAACTTTATTACATTAATTTTTATGTATCATTTTGTGGATAA